TATCGGAGCTAGCGCTTCTTGCTCTAACTACTACAGAAACTCTTGGAATGGGATGCCACAATAACAAAAACATAAATATGTGGCATAGCTTAGCAACATGCTAAGGGGGCATTTGTTGGATAGAATCAAAGTGAGAGTATATGTTCTCTGCTATTGGTTGTATCTGGCAAAGCAATCTAAGAAAAAAGATGAGCTCAGGAGAAGTGGATGGTTTGCAAAGAGAAACGAAGGGGAATAGAGAGAGTTCAGAAAATTTAAGCCTAATAGGGAGGAAAACACCAAGGACTTCTCAATCCCAAGCGGCAGAAAAGGCCCTTTAAGACCCAGCCTTGGTGAAAAGATCAGATTAAGGATATGACATTCCCAGTCAAGTCTTGTAGCATCCAAGTAGCAACCTGCCCCTTGACAGATAGAAAGAAGCACAGGGGACGGAAACAAGGAAATAAAGCAGGTTTGGAAACTATGTCTAGGAAAAACTCTAGGTGTGGTCACTAGCCCATGGAATCGACTAGAAGTAAATGGATAAGACTTTGCTAAAATTTTCAGGGACTTTGATCATATACAAACAGACACCCCAAAACCAACTGAATACATAAAAACCCCTATGCCCAGACTTTTACCTTTTATCTCCACTATTAGAGCAGTAAAATAACCCTGCTCCAGAAGGAAGTGTGCTGGGAGAACTGAGCAACTTCAGGGAAGACTCAGCCCCCAGCACCCACTTCAGATGTATACAAAACAGGTAGTGGGCCAGGAAGAGCTCTCTAGAGAGCATAGCCTAGGGTGTAATAGGCAAGAGAGATCCTCCAGAGAGTTGAACAAGGGCCTAAACAAAGACCTGTCCCCATCCCAGCGTTAGGGGCCTTTACAGAATCTGGGAGGGTCTCAAAATATCCACAGACCTTCAGCTACTTTGTCTCTCTCTCTCTTCCCTTTTCCAAATGGGCGTTTTTACTGTGGTTATCTGATCCATGCTGTTCCATGTGAGCCTGGAGCTACATCAGACCTAAGGAAATACAGAATCACAGGGAGGCCCTGGACTGTGAGCTGCTGGGTTGTGGGGTTGAACCCCACACCACCCCAGGTGGGGAGAGTGAGCTTTATGTGTGAAGACAAGGAAGCAAACGAATATTTGGTGGCTAGGGGGGGTGAACTGTGCAGAGAATGCCAGTGCCCGCTGATCTTGCTTCATTCTCCATCCATAGCTCACAGTTCACTCTGTTTTCAACCCCTTGCTGTTAGGTAGGCTCTGGCCAGTGAAATATGGGTCAAAGTGCTTTACACCAGCCCAACCCATAAAATCCTCTGATGCAGGGCCCTCCATCCTTTCTTTCCTTTTGCAACAAACTTAGAGCCCCATGTTGAAGATAGTGGTAAAACAAGATGGGAGGTCCCTGGGTCCCTGCGTCACAATGTGGAAGAGAACTGGCCAACCAACCCAGGACTGTGATGTGAGTGAGAAATAAACTTTTGTTGTATTAAGATCGTGGGATATAGGGGTTGTCAAAGCAGCGAGTATTACTTACACTGACTAGTGTCAGGATAGGGAATGCCTATATTTATTTAGAAAATATACCAAATAAGAGAAGCTACCAGAGAAAGAGAAGTCAAAGAAGCTTAGAAGAACCAGGAGTATGTAGGATCAGAGAAACCAGAGGAAAAGAGAGCTTCAAGAAGAAACTGCTAATGGTGTTTGTGATGGTTAATTTTACATGTCAACTTTGCTAGGCCATGGTACTCAGGTATTTGTTCAAGCATTATTTTTTGTTGTTGTTGTTCAAACATTATTTTAGATGAAGGTGTTTTTTCAGTTGAGATTAACATTCAAATCAGTAGACTTTGACTCAATCAGATTCTCCTCCATCCTGTGGTGGGCCTTATCTAGTCAGTTGAAGACCTTAATAGAAAATAGAAACTGACCTCCCCCAAAGAAAGGGAATTCTGTCAGTAGACTGCCTTTGGACTTAAGCTGCAACATTAACTCTTCCTGGGTCTCCAGCCTCCTGGTTATTTGTTCTGTTTCTTTGGAGAAACCCGACTAATACAGTGTTAAGTCTACAAAATGGTTGAAGAGGATACAAGTTTCAAAAAGGCTATTATTCTGGCAACTAAGAAGAAGGAAGCAATTTCAACAAACATTGGGGCTTGGAGCTACAACCGAAGGAAAAATGGAAGCAATGTCCTAATGCTGGTGAAGAACAGGATGGGAGAGGAAGCACTCAAAGGCACAGAGGGAGGAATTGAGCTTTAGGAGAAAAAGATGTTTAGAGCCTGAAGTAGAAAAGACAAAAGCAAGGCTGGGGGAGCTCCCTGGGGGATTCTGTTCTGAGCAAACCACAGCACTGCTCAAGAACTGATGTGGGACTCTCTAGCTTCTTTAATACAAATGGTTCCAGCATTAGTGATCTGGTTTGTTTTGTTGTTGTTGTTGTTGTTGTTGTTTTCCCCTCTAAATGACCTCTGCCCTATAGCAATTTCCTTTGGCTTCCAACAGAGGTATGACTCATGTGTCCCAGTCAAATGCACCCACCCCCAGCCCCAGTTATAAACAGTATTAAGCATTTCTCTCTATCCCACCCCACCACACCTGCCTGTGCCATCTGTGCCTCTGTGCCCATGTGCCAGCCTAAGCCCCTTCCTGATAGCCCCTCATCTTCTGGTCTGATGAGGCAGGGCTAGGGTGGGGGAGCTAAGAGTTTCTTTCAGTTGACCCTGGGTCCATACCTCTGGCTGTTTTTGGAAGGTACCTGAAATTGAAGCTGAAGGCTTTCACCCAAGGGGTAGTGTACTCTCCAGGAAATCTCTGTCTCCTCCCTTCTTGATCTGTGGTCTGTGATCATCTTGTAGTCTCATCTTTCTGCTTTCCCTTTGAACTATTTCAGAGCTGTGACCCCTCCTGCCTGCCAACTCCTCTCCAGCGCTTTCCTGCCACTCTGCAGGACTGGGCCCCATCTCCCCTGCGTCCTTTTGGAACTGGGGCTCATCCCCTGAACATCTTCAGGGCTGGAGTCCAGCCCTGCTCACCCAGGGCCCACTTGCAGCCAGACACAGGCCTATTTCATTTCTTTGCTGATGCATTTGCAAATCATAACAATACCATAGGCTATACACATCTTCCGAGCCAAAGGTCAGGGACAGGGGTGGGGGCACTCCCTCACATCAGGGTTAGGACCTTTTTGTCACTAAACATCTTGGATCAAGCCAACTAAAGAAAGCATGGAGAAGACCAAAGGTCATTTGCTTGTTCTTCTTGTGGATAAATATTTGAGTGCCTTCTGCGAGATGCAGTGTGGTAGCTATACACACAGGTGCCAGATTTAGCCTGCCTGGGTTCAAGTCCCAAGATCTCCACTTCCTAGCTACGTTCCTTACAGTAAGCACGTGATTAATCTCTCCTTGTCTCATTTCCTCCACTGAGAAGTGAAGACAATAATTGTGTTTGTCTTCTAAAGCCACTGGGAAGATGAAATACATTAACACACAGGTAACCTACAAATCCTACAAAGGATTCCTTTGATGGGCTACCCCCCTGGTATTTATGAAGCAGCTCTCCTGGTCCATGCCACAATCCCAGGAGGCTGAGGTGGACTCGGAATCCAGACTCAAGGAGTACAGCGTGAACTACTACAAGGTGGGCAACAGCCTCTCTGAACCTCAGTCTCCACTTCCGTACAATGGGCACCCTTGTTCCTGGCTTCAGCTCTAGAGGCTGTAGTGAGCTATCTTGAGAAAATGGAGAGAATGTGCTTTATATGTGCTTTATAAACTGAAACTTGCCCCCCCCCCGGGGGGTGGGGCCTATTAGAGATAGCTGAACATCACCCTTTCTGATGGGCTGGGATTCCTGAATGGTAACTAGGGCCCCTTCTAGGCTCCTGGCTTAGAAGAAAGTGTCTCTGCTTGGGCCCTACCTCCTTTACTCTAAGGGCCAAACGGGGTGGGCATGGAAGTGTGGGGATGTGGGGAAAGGCCAGGCGGGGTTGCCCCCACGCTGGGGTCCCCTCTCTCCCTGCACTACCCTGTTGTAGTGTTCATCACACCTCAGCACCCTGACTTGTTTCATTGCTGGCTTTCCTCACCAGAGGCAACCTCACAGAGTATCCCTCACCCTCCCAGAACTGGGGGCAGAAGCTGGTACATGGAAGGTGGTCAGGGAATGTTCCATTAATGAAGAATGATATGTGAGGACCCCCAGAGGAGAGCCTCAGACAAGAGTCACAACTTCTGACTCGAGGTCACTCTTCCTCCGATGTCACTGTACAAAATCACAGAATTTGGGAGCGCCTGGGGTCCAACTCTCTCCTTTCAGAAAACCGAGGTTTGGAGACCTGGAGTGGCCGCTCAAAGTCACTCACCCAGCGCGTGGGTGACCAACCTTGCTGGCCTCCCCGGGACTGAGGGGCTGGCGGGGATGCGGAATTTCAGGGCTGAGGCGGGGACAGTCCCCGGCAACCCGGGCCTGGAAGCCGGGGACCCTGCGTTCCCCCAGTCCGTCTGCCTCTCAGGCGGGTGAGGAGACCGTCCGGGGCTGAGACTCGCTCCCAGCCACGAGGTGGCCCCCAGGGCGGGCGGCGGCTGGCCAGGGAAGGGGGGGTGGTCCCCCGCGCGCTCCCCTGGGCGCCACGGCCGCAGGGCGGGCGGGCGAGCTGGCGGGCCCGGGGTCGGGGACCCGCGGCGGCACAAAGAGGCCCGGCCACGGCAGTTTTGAACCTCCCGAGGAAGTGGATTTGGGCCGGGGCCCAGGGCGTGACGGGGAGGGCGGGAGCGTGCTCGCGAGCGAGGGGGAGGCGGGAGGCGGGGAGCGGGGGGCGCGGGGCGGCCGCAGACCTAGCCGGCCTCCAGCGGGAAGCGCGCGCGCGGGCGGCGGCGGCAGCGGGATGGGCGGCCCGGGGCCCCTCGGCTGCGACCCCGCGGACCCTCCCCTCGGCGTGCCGCCTCCGCAGCCGGGCGCTCGAGCGGGCGGCGCGTAGGGCGGCGAGCCGGCGCCGGCCGAGGAGCCGCCGGCTTCACCCCACCCCTGGCCACTCCGCAGCTCGAGCCGCCGCCCCGGGGCGCTCCCGAGGCCCCGCAGGAGGGACCATGAAAGGTAAGCCCCGCGCGCGCGAGGGCCCAGGAGAACCCCCGCTGGCCCCCCGTACCCCCACCCCACCCCGCCGGCGGGGCTGCGGAGGGAACGAAGCTCCCGGAGCGAGCTCTGGGCTCTCCCGCCCCTCTTACCCTCCCGCGGAAGGCATTGATGAACAGGACCGGGGGAGCCCTGATGTCTAGAGGAGGGGGAGAGTTCACACGCAGCCCCCTTCACAGTCCTCTTCTCACTCTGCATTGCTTTATCCCCCCAAATAGTTGTAAATTCCAGAGAAGTTTCTGATCCCTTTAACCGGGTCAGTGCAAAAAGATGCCACCAGCCCAACTTTCTGGCCGTGTTAAAGCCCCATCCAGGGAACCCATCTCAGAGGCTCCTGCAGCCCCTACCTAGACTTCTTGGCCCGGGGCCAGGCGTTGGACTCTCCTCCAGGAGCTTCAGCCCCTTCCTCAGGAGAGACCTGTTGTGTCCAAGTCCTTCAGCCCAGACCCTGCCCTACCAGACCCCTGAACCCTGGCTGACCCACCCGGTGACCTCCCAGGGACACAGCAGCTGGGGAGGGCCCCTGGTCCAGGCCTGAGCTTTCCGGAGGGCACTGGGTCATCTCCACCATAGCCCTTGCAACCAGGTCCTGGAATGGACACAAGAACAGGACTCGATCCCAGGTGCTCATACCTGGGCCTGGCTTTTTGGAGGCCCGGGAAAGAGCACACTTCGTCTTAACACTCATTTTCAAGCTAGGGGAGCAGCAGGCATTGGAATCATCCTATGGAACAGGATGATTTAGGTTTTGAATGCTTTCTTCTGTGCTTGTTAATAATCCCTCCCTAGTGCCTCGCTCAGGCAGGTGCTGAGCTCCTGGCAGTAAGAACCTCCCTACTCCTTTGACTTGTTGAATGTGGGGACTGAAAAAGACCTTGGAGATCATCTAAAGGGCTTTAAACTCTATTCTTGGGTGTTGTTGAAGAAGCAGCTCTGTTGGTGTCCTTTACATAGAAGGGGATGAAGAAAGGGCTCACAGGCAAACCTCTGACAGAATACAGCCAACATGTTGCACAGTTGAAGAACTGAGACCAAACAGGTAGAAGCGGCTTCATGGGTATGCAAACCTGTGCCCCCCAACAGGTCCCCGCACTCGGAAGGCCTCGTACTAGGTTTAATGTCTTGAAATTCGTAAAAACTTTTAAACAGGGTCCTCTCACGCTTTTGTTTTGCACAGGGCTCTACCAGTTATGTTTCTGGTCCTATGGCTAGGAGAAGGAACTTGCTTAAGAGTCACAGCTAGTCAGGGGGACCAGAGCTCAGGGGCCCGACTTCCAGGCCAGAGCACTGGCTAACATACCCCTACCTCTCTGTCGCTTCCTTCCCTCTGGCCTCTGGCCCCTCTGTGCTTCCAGATGGCCTCACCATGTCTTGGGCTGTCTGGGATGAGACAAGAAATTTATAAGCAACCCCAGGGAGTTCCCTTGGCTGCAGAGAGCAGCCTCGCCCACAAAGCTCCTGCTCTCAGCTACCATATCTTACAGAACTGCACCCACCCCTGTTAGCTGGCCTGGGGCAGGTCATTACCCAGAAGTCTCTGGAAGGGTCTTAGACCACATCTCACCACAGGCTCGGGGTCCACACTGCTCTGGACCTTAATGATGATGGTAAGATGCTACACGTACTCGGAGTGGTTTGGCTTCACCAACATTCTTGACAAACACTGTAAGAGAAAATCTAGTGAGGGAAAGACAGGACAGAAGTCCTCTGAAATGGTGGAGACATCCTGCTCCCATTGAGGAGGGAGTTAGGAGCACATGACCTGCTTTCTGAAACTCAGCAAGGCAATTCCAGTCCTCTGAGTGGAAGAGGAACAAGCTGGTGTGGATGACTATTTGGAGGAGAAAGGGCTGGCTGGAAGTCTGTGGGCTCCCTCCTGGCATTCCTAAGGTCTGCTCCCCTCACCTCCTTTTCCCCATTCTCAACCAACAGCCTCACCAACCAGGTGGGGCCAAATTCCTGTTCATTGAGGCCTTTGGGGCAGCTCTCGTGTATTTTTCCTCCAGCCTCCGGGAAACCTTCCGTGATCTCTCGTAACACCCCAGGGGCATAGGCTGCAGTGCTTCGGGGGAAGACAAGGCTTGATTTCCAGTACACCTCTCTACGGGGTCTTCCCTCGTCCTCCCTAGGAGCCAGGAGGAGCGACCACCTCTACCTGAGATGGAAAAAGCAGGGCAGACAGCAAATATTTGGCCTTTGGATCTGTGGAGTTTGAAGAAGCAGAACTAGATCTCACCCACACGGAAAAAGTAAAGTGCCCAGCAAAGCAGGGCGGCCCTTCCAGGCTGGCCCTTCCCCAAGGGGAACCGGCTTCCAAGCCTTCTCCAAAGGCCCACCAATCTGAGAAGTACATCTGTTGGCCAACATTCACCTCCCCCCTCAAAGCCAAACATGGTGATGTTATGCTTTGTAGGGGAGCGGGGTATTGGTGGGGACGGCACTTAAGGAAACGCGTGTGCTGAGGAGCACAGCCACCAGTGGCCAGGAGCCAGGCCTCCTCTGCCAGCCAAGCTGTTTCCACCCAAGGGCCCCTCCTGCCTGCTTGTTTGCCTGCCTGCCTGCCTCTGGCCAGGCCTCCCAGGCAGCCGCATTTTTCCATGTGGGCCAGTACCTGGCCCCAGGTGTCCCTTCTCGCACCCTAGGGGCATAGAGCTGCCACCAGCCCATCTTGGAGCTTCCCACTGGCTTGTCTGAGACCTTAACAGCCACCTGTGGGATGCTGTGCACATCTGTGGTGAAAGCCCTCCCAGCTCTGTCAACCCCCCACCCCCACACGCTGTAGGAACAGCCTGGTCCCCTGGGATTGGAAAGTCAAAGACCTGGGCTCTATTCCTGGCCCCACGTGAGGCTCTGGTCAAACCGTTTCCCTCTCTGGGCCCCGTTCTCCTCCTGGGTGGTCCCTGAGGCCCCTCGTGCCCTGACGTAATGTGACCCAGCTCAGGAACTCTAAGCCTGAGGACCATTTGGGGAGCGGAAGTGACTCGGTGGAGAGATGGTTGGAAGCAGGCCCACCGCACGAGCAGCTCTGTGCCCCTGGGAGACTTGTCCTCAGCTGCCATGTACAGGGCAGTCACACCCTGCTGTTCTCCCAGCGTAGGAGGAACAGCCCCTCCCTACAGAATCAGAGACCAGTGCCCACACTCCATGGACAAAAGTGTGGACAGGCAGAGAAAAGGCTGCAGAGTACAGCTGTGTGATCCCAGGAAAATCTACCACATACGGCTTAGCAGAGGAGATTGTATCCAATCACAAGTGGGTAGACTGTGCCCCCTTTGAAAGCCTGACCCCCATCCTCAGACCGTGGACGCTAGAAGGAACCTGATTCTAGAAGAAAAGGAGCTGATGTGGCAGGGTGTAAAGAGTCATTAAACAGTTCAGTTTTTTGGGGGGACCTGAGGGCTCGGATGATGGAGATTAGTTCCAATGATGATGATGGAGATTAGTTCCTGTCCATCAGGTACACACACATACACACACACACACACACACACACACACACACACTGCTGACCTTGCCCTCCAGCTGGGGTCATTTTGATACTTGAAGACCTACATCCCAAAGCTAATTTGAGAGAAAAAGGAATTCTGCTTCTCAGTAGGTGTTTACTGGAATAGCTTAGCAAGTTTCCTGGAGGACAGGCAGCTGTGCTAGGTGTGAGGCCTGCGAGTCCAGCAGTGGGACAGACCGGGCCCCTCATCACTCACATAGACACTGCCCGTGTTTGTTTATGTTTTGGTTAGCAGGTGCATGTGTGTGTGCATGTGTTGTGAACGCTGAAGCCCAAGGTTAGAGGGAGCCCTCTCACCCACCAGCTTTATAAGCTAGTAGCTACGATGGAGTCATTGATGCTCTCCGGCCACCTCCTCGGCAAGTACACTGGATCGTCTTTAATGCTCGTTCCAGCTCTAACATCCTCCTCTGTGGTTTCTCCTTCTGAGAGGGCGTGCTTATTTATTTATTTTATTTGAGTCATGTTGACACACAATGTTAACTTAGTTTCAGGCTTAGGACAGAGCTGTGCTCACCAAAATGCATAACAGCCATCTGTCACCCCGCAGCACTGTTACAATATCATCAACTCTGTTCCTTGTGCTATGTCTTTTATGCTCAGGACTTACTCACTCTGTAACTGAAAGCCCGTACCTCCTACTCCCCTTCACCCATTTTGCCAGCCGCCCCCCACCTCCCTTCTGGCAACCATCTGTCTCTTCTCTGTATTTATAGATCTGATTGTGCTCTTTGTTTATTCATTTGGTTGTTTTTTTCCTCCAGATTCCACATATAAGTGAAATCATATGGTATTTGTCTTTCTCAGTCTGCCTTCCTTCACTTAGCATAATGGTCTCTGGTTCCATCCATGTTGTTGCAAGTGGCAAGGTTGCACCCTTTTTCGTGGCCACGTAATATTCCACTCTATATACCAGGTATATATACATTTCTATCTATCCATCTATCTATTGATCTGTATCTATTTTTCTCTCTGAATAAGACTGTGGAACCCACAGAGTAGTGTTAGAATGAGAGGTGAATGAATATGGTGACCCTGGCTGCCTTCTTCTCGCCTCACTCTCTCCCAGTGGCTGTCACTTAGGAGGTATCCACTATATCCGCCAGTGCATAAATCTGAGTCCCCCATTACGCTGAAATCCTTAAAGGCAAGAGGAACATCATGGGATTCCCAGAACCTAATGTCGGTCTCCAATAAAGACTTGTGCTTCTATTTCACATTTACTGACCATCTGCTGTATGTCAGAGCTTGTATGTCTATCTGTACCTAAGGGCCAAGGAAGATGCAAAGAAGGGCTCCACATCCTTTCTCTCAAGGAGCTTACCCTTTGCTAGAACTGGTTCTTTCCCTGTCTCCCGCCTTCGCTGCTCCTCTTCTGGATGACCCTGGTAGTAGCTGTGGAGCCTCTGGTTCTTAGGGGGCACCCATTCTTGAACAGTCTTACCCAGCCGTG